CCACCCCCACCATTAGCCACCGGCCCACACTACCAGCCCTATTAACTCGTACCACCACCCACTACCCAACCACCAAAACCTCCACCAGAACCCCTACCTACCAAAATGAACCATATCCACCCCCTTACACTAATAAATTTAGCCAAACCACCCATCCTAATCAAACCATCCCACCACCCACCAAAAACCACCACAGTTGCCGACGAAACAACCAATCACAAGCCAAAATATAACAACAAAAATAAGGAAAAAAATTATTGAAAAAACGTCGACAATACAAAACAAAAATGATTAACTCCATTAGCCTCCACCCAACACAACCACATATTTTTTTTTAAAAAAAACCGATAAAAAAAGATACATACCTCAATTCGACCACACAAAACCTTGAAATTGGGTTTAGGAGGCCAAATTCGACCATGAAAACTCTACATCTAGAGCTTTCATGGTCGAATTTGACCTGGAAACCTTTGTTTTCATCATGAGAAAAGAGAGAAAGGGAAAACTCTAGATCGAAATTATTGTTGATGTTGATGTTGGTGTTGGATTGTTGGTGTAGTTGTTGATGCCGATGTTGGCGGTGGTGGTGTGAGATAATGAGGTGGTTGAAAGAAGGGAAAGAAAAGGAGAGGAAGAGAAGAGAGGAAGAGGAGAAGGAGAACGAAGATGAGAGAGAAGGAGAGGAAACAGAAGATGAAAGAGGAGAGGAAGAGAAGACGAACGCGGAAGAGGATAGATGAGAGAGAAAAGGAAAGTCAGAGAGATAGAGAAGGGGAAATAGATAGAAGCGGCGGAAATAAGTATAGGGTCAGGGTTTCATTTTTTAAAAAAACTTATATTCCGACGGAAAAATCCATCGGAAATTATCCGTCGGAAAAGGTAATTTCCAATCCTGACGGATTTATATTCCGTCGGAAATTTTCGACGGAATTATTGAATTCGTTAGAAATATCTGACAGAAAAAAATCCGTTGGAAATTTCAACTTTTCCAATGGATTTTTGTGCCCGTCGAAACCAGTCCGTTGCTATTTCTCTGTTTTCTAGAAGTGTGGGCAGATGATGGTTATAGGGTGGGGATCGAGAGAGGGGTGTTGTCATGGTAGGGAGTTGGAGGGGGTAGGTTTGGTAGTGGGTGGAGGGTGCCTGGAGGTGGTGCAATGGTGGTGTGGAGGTGGTTATAGGGTTTAATTAATTAATTAAGGTTTAAAAGAAACTAATTACAAATTAGCCGGATAATGATATCATTAAGAGTTTAAATCACCTGATTAAGGGAAAGGGTAACAATCACTAAAATAATCAGTTTTAGGGGTAGTAATAATTAACAACTTTTTTTAGGGGTAGTAATTCACAAAAACCCCTTTTTTGAGGTAGATTATTTATTGATTAGGGTTTTGTTATTCATTCTTATTTTTGCAATAAGTTGAATTTCACCCTTTTTCTTTGAATTTTCTTGTTTTAAATACGATTTTGATCTCTGTTAGTTAATCTTGCAATTCTTGCTATAGATTTTTGTTTTATTCTTGGGTATGTGATGGTGTTGATGAAAATAGTTGTTGGAAAATGTTGGTGGATTATTGCTTACTTGATGTGGGTTATATGCGGCGGGAGGACTTGGGCAGCAGAGCCCGCTTCTTACTAGGCTGACTTACCTTAGTAGATTCAACTTAGCCACACAATCAAGGCTCTAATATGGGAGTTCATTGTATGAGTAATGGTGCTTATTGAGGAGAAAATACATACATGTTGATAAGATTGATTCACAGCTTGTGAAAATTAGGGGTCAATTTCTTCTTTTCACTCATAATAGTAAGAATACACTTGTCAGTGCATACATAACTTGCAAACATTGGGGATAGTCAAACTAACATTGAATCCGAAACCAGAAACCACTTCTTTCTCCACGCCAACACCGTCTATGGCAATTCAAAATGCCGCCGTGAATGAAAAGCTTTCCTTAAGGGGTTGATATGGCCCTAATTTACACTCTTTTCTAGTAGAGTGTTTTTTTTTTATTTCACCACAAAAGCGGTCATTGTTGATGAAGAAGAGGAGGACGTCAGGAAGAAAAGGTCGAAGAGGAAGAATTTTGTTGATTTAATCGGCGGAAGGAGGAGAGATGGTGGTGGTTGTGATGGATTTCGATCAGATGGTAGGAAATGTGATGGTGGTGGACCAGATGGTGGATATGGTGTTGTTGTCGATGGAAGATTAGATAAGAAGGTTTTGAAAAATTAAAATAAAAGAAATTGTTAAAAAAAAAAAGATAGACTGAAATACGATGTAGCAACACCCTTCTAACGTCGTAAAACTCTTTATCACAATAGCCAAGTCATCAAACATACACATCAATATAAATTAATTTGTCTGGCAAGGGGATCCACAAAAGCAACTTATTGACAATATTTGTCAATTAGGATGATTGCCTAGGGTGCCCTCGGCTCATTACTGAGTCAACTACATGCTTTGCTCGAGCAATGAGGAAGCAAAGGATAGATTGTCATATAGAAAGAACAACAATGCCCTCAGACTATTTGGATCAACGAATGCGGATGCAATCACAGGGATGAGAATAGAGAAGAGATGAGAAAATGAAGAGAACCTAGCAAGAAGGGATGATAAAGGTAGCAACATTAGCCACATTAGGCAAGACCACAAGGGTAGGAATTTGGTAATTTTGAGTCGGTGAGACTGACTTATATTCCCTAGTATAGCTAATGAAGGCTTCAATTGTAATAATGAAGAGCGGTTATTAGGCTTCGATCCTAGCAAATTAAGTACTACCTCTATCTGTTTCAAATTATTTGCAACGATTAGACTCAAACTATATGTCAAATAGTTGCAAATCATTTGAAACAATTAATTTCAGTTCAAGGAAGAAATATAAAAGCGATTTAGCAAAAATAATTTCAGCTCATTAAAATTAATTTCAGTTTAGTAAAAACAATTTAATTTCAACAAAAATAATTAAAGATCAGCAAAAATAATTTAAGTTTAGCAAAATAAGATGAAGTGAACAAGGTCTTACCGTGCATGATATGGGAATTAACCTAAGTAAATTTTAAAAAGCCACAACATGCTTACTCCCTCCATATTTTAATAAGTGTTATAGTTTGATCGAAACATAATTTTTGGTCAAAATACCAATGAAAAAGTCAATTTATAGTTTGACAAATTTGTCAAAAAAAAAACCTTTTAAATGCAGCATTTTGCAAAAAAAAACCCTTTTAAAATCTTTATCGTTAAAAAAAAAATTGTTCAAGGAAACCTCGTATCACTAATTCACTTAATTACCCTTTAATCTCTTCTAATTACACTCTTACTTTCACTTAATAATTTAATAATTAAATTAATTTATAAATTAAAAAAAGAACACCACCCGCACCAATCCAGCCACCCTCCTCCCTTTCCCCTCCCCGGGTAGCAACTCCCAGCCTCCCACACCAACGACCCAACTCCACCGCAACCCTCCCCCTTCCCTAAACCCCGACAACCCACCTACCCACCTCATCCTCTGTTTCGCCCGCCATTGATAGATCTCGAAGCTCCATCAATGTTGTCATCTTCATTAACATCACAACTCCGTTATTCCCCTCGTCAATTCTCCCCTTTCTCCTCCAATTGCCTTTCTTCTCCCAACTCCTTCTCTTACCCTCTCAATCAAACCTACTATCCCTCTTCATCTATTAATCTCCCATACCTCTGCGTCACCTCCAATGACGGAGACAACAGCGTGAGTAGAATCCATCGACGGTAATGGCAGAGGAAGAAGAGGAAATTGGAACTCTGACGATGGCGGAACAGAGGAGGAGGTAGGTAAGGAGTCATTGGGGTTTACGGAGGGGGATGGGTTACGGTGAAGTTGGGTCACGGTGGTGGAAGCTGCTGCCAGGGGAGGGAAAGCGAGGAGGGTGGCTGGGTTGGTGGGTAGAGTGGTGGGTTTTTGTTTTTAAAAAAATAAATTAATTTAATTATTAAGTTTTTTTTTTTAAGACTAATTATTAAGTTTTTAAGTGAGAGTTAGAGAGTAATCTAATCTAATATATATATATAAATAAAGTAGGCATTTTTGGAGAGCATTGGGAGCGCCACATAAGAAAATGTATATTTTCGACCAATTAAAAATTAGATATCTATTTTATTTTAGAATTAAAAAAACACTCGCCACTTAAACAAAAGTGACGAATATAATTTAAAATTTTGCCACGTAGGTAAAAACGACGAATAATAATTTATTAAGATTTTAATTATTTAAGAACACTAAATTTTATCATTTTTATTTGTTACAAAACTAACAATTATCTTTAGATATTAGGATTTATATTATTTAAAAAACTTAAAAAAATATATTTTGATATTTAAAATTTTAAAACTTATAATGCAAGAAAAAAAATTCGTGCATTGCACGCCACATAAGCAAAAGTAATATTTCGACCAATCAAAAATTAGATTTATATATTAATTTTGAATTTAAATTTTCATCGCCATTTAAGAAAAAATTAACAAATGAAATTTGAGAATTGAAAACAAAAAAAAATATTAATTTAAGATTTAAATTATGAAAAAAAAAACAAAAATTATCTTTTTTTATTATCTTTTACATTAGGATTTATATTATTTTAACAAATAATTTGAAATTAAAAAAATATTTTAATTTAATGATTTTATCTAACTATCCGATAAACGAGATAATATTTATTTCAATTTATAAATTCAAGTTCTATATACGTAAAATTTGAATAGGAATAATTTAAAAATTAACAAAATATTTTACCTTAAATTAATGTTAAAATAATAGAATAGAAAATAAAAACAAAAAATATTAAGAAATTACAAAAAAAAAAATATACAAAATAAAATATTTAAAAATCGTGCATCGTACGGGCTTACATCTAGTTAGAAAATATTATAGGCTAATCAAGTGAATTAGGGGTACCAGGTTTCTGTAAATAAAAATTTTTAACTTCGGTTTTTTTTTTCGATAAAGATTTTAAAAGTTTTTTTTTTTTTTTTTTTTTTTTTTTTTTTTTTTTTTTTTAAACTTTCATCTTCCTCCTCTTTTATTTGCTGACGACAATTTCATTTCAACCACAAACAAACCAGCGTGGTCGTCCACTTTCCGGCAATAATTCACCCTTTCCCCTCTCATTCTCCAAGAAATTGAGAGAGTTGTGTTAATAGGGGCTTTTTGTTGGAAACCCTAGATTATACAGAGTAACTCAGCAGAATCTGACTCATCGACCGATGGAAATCTTCGTCAAGACCAACGAGGGACTAACTTCTTGATTGAATTGATGAACCTGTAACTCCACTTCCTTCGATGTTTTATTTAAATTTTGTTTTTAGTTTTATTGAGTTTGTATACAGGAAATTGTCTATAAAAAAGTAGTCTATATGAAGTTGCTTAAGTAGTGCGATTCTTTTGTTTTTTTGATTAATTTTTTTTTGTTTAGTTTGTTTTTTGTTGATGAATCTGTAACTCCTCCTCCTTCAATTTTTGTTTTGTTTTTTTTTTTTTTTTTCAATTTTGTTTTTAGTTTAATTGATTTGGTATGCAAGTAGTCTTTCTTCGAATTTGATTGGGACCAGATTAGCGAAAGTTTTGGTGGATTATTGTCAATTTAGGGCTCTAAAGTGGACTGTTATATAAAATCTGTTGACGGTTGAATTTGAGACGGAAGAAATTGTAGTCAGCAAACAAAAGAGAATTAGACGGAAGAAATATATATTTATGTATAAATATAGTCAAATTAGCTTGGTTCCTTCACAAATTCCTGCTTCTATATACTTTTTATCGATTTGTTTGTTGGTTGTGAATCACGGAGGCTGGTCTGGTAGTTACTTAAGTGTCGAACCCCCGTGCTTCCTAGACATATGATGGTTTGATGCAGAATTTAAGAAAAATAAGGAAAGTGACGTGCTGCCCTGCTGTGGTTGATACATTTAAGTTATCTTTTTCATATGCCAGAATGCGACATGAATATCTAACAAGGTCATGAATAGTGAAATTACGAGCTTCATATTTATTAACTACTACTAGTCTGCTTTTTTGCTGAGGGTTTGTTGGTGTTATAGACTAGTGATATAACGAGTGTTATATTCATTCACCTGTCTATTAGACCAAGACTGAATTGAGTGAGGGAAAGGAAATCTAACTTGCCACTTATGATAAATGAAGTAGAATGTTTGTTTGTACAATGTTTGGAGTCTTCACGTGTCTATGGACTATAGGTGGCCTACAACCGTTGTCCAAGTAGTCCAACTCTACAATGCAATCCAACATAGTTTTACCATTTATTATATTTGAGCTTGTGTTTATGAAACTGAATCATGATAGCTGTTACTTTTTTTTTTTTTTTGAAAAAATGATAGCTGTTACTTAGATCACTAACCTTGTGCAGAATTAAATGCTATTTGTAGCCTGTCTTTCTAACTCAAAAATTCTGGAGCTGCATTTGCCCTACCATTTTTTTTCCCCTTTTTTCTGTTTTTTGTTTTTGTGTTTGTTGTTGTTGTTTTACTGAAAAATAATGATTTTTTCTGTTCAGAAACAAATAGTACAATAGGAAGAATAACTGATGTGTAGTAGTGATACCTGAGAGAGCAGCAGCCTGCAAGTTACCCTTAGCCATATTGCTCACTGATAATGCAACTAGACCTCTTTGTTGCCTCAATGAATAATATTGGAACCCTTGATACTGCCAACTGATCTTAGATACTAATGTGCTGTTGATGCTAAATCGTTTTGCTTTAACCTCAAGCCCCTTATGATATCTGCCTTAACCCACTGAAGAAGATTTATTTGCTTGCAGTTGTGTTTAGCTTTCTTTCTTATGTTGTGTTTCTGTTGTTCACTATAATTGCAGGCCATAAATAGAGCTGGTGGAAAAGCGAGTAATAAAGGTGCCGAGTCAGCACTAACAGCCGTAAGCTTTTTACCTTAGCCTATTTAATTGTTGACCATCAATTTTGACATTATTTTTATATTCTCTAAACTGATGTAGAATTTGGCCTTTTTTTTTTTCTTAAGTATATGGCCTATATTTTCTCTGAAATAGTGGGAGGAGGAGGAAGAGGAAAACCATTTTGCTAGTGGTGTATAGTAATAGATCCAGTATCATAGGGTTGGAAGTTTAGTGCAATGTCCCATTGCACCACCCCGATTCAATGGGATAAAATGTCTAGCTTACAGATCAAGAACCCATTGAATGATTGAAGTAAACAATTCACCTGTGTATCTCAAATATCCTACACCAGTCGTTCTAGGGCAGAATCTATACTTTAGCCAGGCAAGCCAGCTCTGTCCCAAACAATGTGACATGATATATAAATTTGATTATTCCCGAAATTCTTGAGGCACCCTTTGGAGTGGTACTAAAATCTGATATCTAGCCTAGGTCTGGTTATGAATGACTATTATTTTGATAGTGAGTTGTGGCTTCCAAGTCCCAACTTTCTCCGTGCTTCCCAATAATGATACATAGTGATGAAAGATTATTATTCTGAAACTAGTGAAGCGGAAGCCTAGGTTTGGCTTCCAAGTCCCAACTTTTTCATGATGCGCTGCTCATTCTCTTAAGAATTGTATTCCTGTTTTTAAAAAAAGCTTTTTTGCCGATTGAAATAAGAAATATCTTCATTTGTCTTTCCATGAATAATCTGATGGATTTTCGAAATGTTTTTAAGCATTAAAGAGCTTAAAGGATACTTGTAATGTACTACTGAGTGCTTTTATCTTCTATTGTTGTGACATTGTGATCTTCATGGTGTAGATGTGATGTGACTGTCTGGAATAGGACAAAGAGCAAATGTGATCCTCTCATCAGCCTAGTTGCTACGTAAGTTGCTGTATGCTTATACTATAACTTAATTACTCGTGCTTAAATAATTAATCTTCCAACTGGCAGAACATCGATGCCTTGATGGTCTATTTGATATACTTTTTTGTTACACATAGAACCAGATGGTCAATTGATCTCAGTTTTATGTTGCAGTCTAAACTCTAACGATGACCATGGGCCTTTACATCATGATATTGAATATATATAATAAATAAAATTGAAATTGAAATTGAAATGTTTGAGAAGCTTTTCTATTTTCAGTAACTTCCCTGAAATGTTCATTTTCAAGATTTGTCACTGATGCAGGTATAAAGCCTCTTCAGAATAAGTAGCTGCGTCTTGTGATGTGACAGTTGCCATGCTTGCTGATCCTGATAGTGCAGTGCGTATGTTTCTTTTGCAAAAGTAACACTGAGCAAGTATAACTTGCTCAAAATAGGGTCGAATAAAGTGTCATTGACTACGTATTATGCAAAGTTCATCTGATAACTTAAGTTTTGTCTGTACTTCTGCTCTTTAATATCTTGTTTTTTTGCAGCAACTTTTCAACCATCAAAGATAGATTGCTGGGAAGTGGTCAACTTCTCTCCCATTGTGATACTAGGAGCGTTGTCAGGGATTTGGAAAAATGCGCTAACATGAAAGGCATTGTAAGTAGTATTAACCAAATTATATTTAAGTTGATAGAAGGAATGGTCTTTTGTGCTCATTGGTGAATGGTCTAATTGTACTTGCTGGTGCATGATTTCTAGGGCTTTAAGCTCTGTTCGATGTCTTTTAAGAAAATCCATAAAACAACAAAAATAGTCGTGTATCTTATTGTCTTTCTTTCATCTCATCATTGTTGAAAAACTTTAGTCTGATTGAATTTGGACATGTGTATAATAATTTAAATCCTTAGCTTTTACTTTTGGTTGACATGTTGTCCTTTTACTTGGACTCGGGTATAAATGTCTAATCATGACACAAGTTTTTAGTGTTATACTACAATTGATATGAATAAATTTTCCATGTTTGTTTAAATGTAAACTAGTATTTAGCCCGTGCAATGCACGGGTTAAGGTTTTTTTTGCTATTTTTTGTCTTTAGCATTGTTCAATTGAATATTGAGATTACTCTTGGATTGAATTTATGCCAAAATACATGTGTACATAAAGATGAATGTTAGTAATTAGAAAGTAAGCATAATGCAAGGAATCAATCTATTACCTCCGTTAATTTTTATGTGCAACTTTGGAATATTTTATATCTCACAAATAATACCCCAAAGTTGCACATAAAAATTAACAGAGGTAGTACATTTTAAAAAAAAAATTCTATAACATAGTAACATACAATAGCAAATACTTTTACAATATTGGAAATCCAATATTTTTACAATGAAAAGAAATTGGTACAATCTTAGATATAAGCATCCAACTATGACACTTATTCATCTTTATGATATGTATCTCTTTTTTTGGGGAGAAAAAAAAAACAACAATTTCAAAAAAAAAAAAAAAAAAAAAACCTACAATAATTGATTTTCTCTCCAAATCACAAAATTGTCTGACATTGTAATAGTTATTGTGTTGTTCAAGGCTTCAAGATTAGTTAACCTGGAGTGCTCTCTTGTTTGTATTCAATATACACATTAGATTCCTTACTGGATGTCTTTTCCTTGAATTAGTGGCAGCTGAGGACCCTTGAGGTTTATGGCACCTTTGTAAGTTGCTATAAACTACATATTGAATTAGACATCGCCTCATAATTAGCAATAAATTTAGTAAGCTGTAAACTCTAATATTTAAACCATGGAAATTGAATTGCGAACAACATTAAATAAATACTACATAGTACATTCTCTATGAATCTTCAATTACAAAACAACACCCCCAAAAAAAAAAAACCTTATCTGCCAAATATTCTAGTTTTAAAGAACACCTATTTATTAAACAATCATACCCTATAAGATTCATAACTCATCTAACAGAACTGGTATCCAAATAAAATACTCCAAATCAAAGAAAAATAAAATCTCAAATATTTGTATAAAAAAATAAAATAAAAAAATAAATAAAACCCTAAACCAACCCCTTAAATCTATATTCCTATACTAAAGTGTAATTTTTTTTACTGGGGAGAAAATGATACTACGTATATTGGACTCGCATCCAATGACATTATGCCAAACAAATACTGTAGAGTAACCCTGCTTATATTTTACTCAATTCGATCAAAAGTTCATAACTACAAGTTGAAGTGAAAATAGAAAAACTCCAATAATAATCTGTGCAAACTGATCACCTAGTCGAAATTTCGAGTCGAAAGCAAGAGTAATTGACAAACTAATGAAATTGATTTTTTTTTTTTTATTAAAAAAAGAAAGAAATTAAGAGCAAGAAAGTAACCTAAACCTGTTTCTGACATACAGAAGGAAGACTTCGGCTATAATCAAGAGGGTTTGGAGGAGAAGTATGAACACCAAGTTCGATCAAAACTAAAATTGAAGTGAAAATGGAATTACTCCAATAATGACCTGTGCAAACCGATCACCTAGTCGAAAGAAAGAGTAATTGACAAACTAATGAAACTGATTTTATTTTTTATTTTAAAAAAAAAAGAAAGAAAAAGAAATTAAGAGCAAGAAACTAACCTAAACCTGTTGAATGTGATAATCGATAGATCACATACAAAATCACAATATCTTCAATTGCAGTTAAAGCAACAACTATGAACCCAACAAGGCCACAATCAACACCATTGAAATCATCACCATTTCCAATTCTTCAAAACACACCCAATTTTATTCATAGATTTTCGTATCTAATTTTTTTATGAAAAAATTGAATATCTCAACCGTATTATTATTTTATTCAATTTTGGATTATGAAGAATAATGACAAAGAAAAGGTAAGAATTATAGAATTTAATATAATTTAAAAAAACCGATGATGCAAACTGAGTTTTGTAGAAGATAATAAAATCATCACAAATTGCATCCGTTTTCTTCCAACATAATTCAGAAAAACCAGAATTTAAAAATCAATCAATTTATTTAATCAATAAATTCATCAAAATTAAATTTAATTGCACAATCGACGCGAAAAAACATAACCAAAAAATTACAGAGAAACACACCTTACTTCGTGATATTTATGACCATAATGGCAAACAAAAAATGGCAAAAGTAGTATAGATTATGACATAAAAACTGTAAATTAGAATTGCCCGTCAATCCCATGATCAGAGTGCAAAGGACACATAAAGGAAATGAAAATTTCTGACAAAATTTATAGACATTAAAATTGAAATTTACTAAACATATGAGAAATCAAGGGGAAAGAAATTTATAACTAACCTTGAATAAATTAAAGAGATTACCTGGAGGGTAGGGAAAAAGGATTGCTCGGGTAAAAGTGACTGATTAGATAAAAATTTATGAATAAAAAAAAAATAGTGAAGGGGAATAACGTCGTTTGATAATCTTAGACAGGGATTGAATGAAGCGTTGTTTGGAAGAAATAGAAGGATAAACCTAGGGAAAAAAACCCTAAGAAAAAAATTGGCGACGTGGCACTCTATATTTTGTTTTAATACTTTTAAATTCCTGTTTTAAAATATTAGTATGGATTGAAGTGTTTAGTGTTCGATATTCATACCCGTATTAAAGTGTCAAAGAAGTAATGATGTTCTTGTGGCTCTGCAGCCTGATATCACAGCACCAAGAGTGAGTGTCTTAGCTGCATACTCTGAAGCAGTAAGTCCAACAGAAGAACCATGCTGGCGTTCTCAAGACTCTGCACCCAATATGGAGCCCTGCCGCAATAAGATCTGCTATAATGACTACTGGTAACTAACCCTACAACCCTTCTTCTGATCCACTTATGATTCGAATGAAGTCATTAACATATGAAACATAAATTATTAGCCTATATAAAGGGAAAAAGAAGGCGATGAGAAACGAATGTCTCAAGAAGAAATGCTCTTGGAAGCTGCCCAAATATATTCTATCTTTTTATTCTTTCTTAAATAAGGTGATGAATGGACTTAAATACTTAATGGTGGGAAAGGAGCTTGTGATATTCGCTTCTTTATCATTGATACATTGCAGAATCATGAATTTGAGGCACTTGGAGCGTTTATTATCAAGGGAGAAGGAATGAGTACAGAACTATTGTGCATTAGCTATCTATTCTGGCCTAAAAATCAGTTACCATCCGAAATGGCAAGTTTTTCTTCACTTTTAGCTATGATTACTGGGCCCCTTTGATCATTTTACTCATTTTGCGAGAGTATGTGCCTATCGAATTCTGCAATCTATGTTAAGTCATCCAACCTAAGCAGAGCTAATTAGTGTTATTTATCACTAATATTATCTATTGTTTAGAGGGAGGCCAGGGATTTTATAATCTCTGCAAGCATGAATGCATGATGCTTGAGTGTCACGGTACTTAATTTTCTCAATGGCTCAAGAACACTACAGATATCGTAACTAAGTTTTGTTGTTTTGATGGTTTTCTATCACAGCACTTTAAAGCCATTTTGAGCAAGTATTCTTGCTTGATTAATCGGTCAGTCTCCAGCTGAAATTTTTATTATAAAGTCAAGCTTATCTTTCAAGGCACACTTGACATCCTTCACAATTCCTGGAGCAATTATACCAGTAATGAGTTGTAGAAATATCATTCCAAATGAATATATAACTGATTTTGATAGGAAACTCCAGTTTCAAGTCAATATACACTAGGATACAGTACAATGTTGGTTTTTGATAGGAGTCTCATTTTGTGGGATAAAAAAGAAGATGCCCAAGTGACCAAGTTTGCTCTTAAAATTGGCATTAAGGACCTTACTGAGCTCTTAAGTTCCCATGGAAAAGTGGAGGGTTACTTTTATGAAGGAAGATGAATGCAGAGCATAGTTCGATTACAATACAAACTTGAGTTTGCCATTGCAGAGGGAGATCAAAGGGAATATCTATCAAGGTTAATATTTTTCTTCTTGCATGTTTCATTTTCTATTTTTCTATTTCTAACCTGGTATATTCTATTGTTCGTCACTGTTATAGCAAAATAATCAAATAGATTCTCATGTGGCCAGTGACATGCATGCTGCATTGAACTTGGATGATGGATTATTGGATATGATTTTGTTGAAACGGCTGTCACTTAGAGTCAGAGTATCCCAAAACAGAATTATATACGGCTATCCCTATTGATCTCGACAATAGTTATATGATAATTAGCATTTAACACTATAAGTTATATTCTTTGGGGCCATTGACAGGTCTGATGTAGGAATCCATGGAGGAGGATAAATCTGAATGACTGAACCACCCAACAGATGTATGCAGCATCATAAACAATCTAAGAAGAGACAATTATTGAATCTGGTATGAGATTGAGGATCACCTAGGATCTGACCTCTATCAAGAGCAATGTTAGCCATTCACCCCTTGGCAAGCTCTGTTAAGGCATGACTTCTCTATCTTGGTAATTAGTTAATAATATGCTAAGTTGGATGAATCCTTTTTTTGCCTTCGCTAAAACATTTACTTGATTGATCTCTTGATTTGAATGAGATGTTTGTTTTTTATATTTAGCTACATTGGAACCTTAGGTGCATTGTTCTGAATATGGATTTTGATTGTCTGTTTTATCTCTGGTGGTCAATTGATATTATAGAGTTCTCATCTAAGTGACTATTAAGACTTTAGAATATGAGCATGTGATAGTGTGATACTGCATATTCCTTTATCTTCTACCATTGAATGTGGTTTTTAGAATATCACAAATAAGTGGAAATGATTTATTTCGTATTTTTTTTAGGTTTGGCTACTATTTGATTAGTTGAAATCGAATATTCTCCTGATAATCACTCGTCTATTTCGTTTTTAAAATTGTAAATATTTTGTTCAATTAATATTTGTATGGTATACAATCGGATCGATTACGTGCTTTACGTGTGCGCCATCAACAATCAGCACGACTCTTTCTCTACTCTTTGTTTGACATCTTATACGCTGCTCCTTTGATTGCCGGTCCGCTACTGCTCACCTTCATATTATCCTCTTTTATTTGATTGTTTTTAATTTTATTTTAATGTTGCATTGTTCGTTGAATTATAATAATTGTATTTGCAATTATTGTTATTAAATTTTTAGAAAATTAAATTATTGGGTAGGTTGAGGAATTTTGAAGCTTTGGTTGTGATTATTATTGTGTTTTTGTTTGGAATTTTGATAATTGAGCTGTATTTTTTGTTAATTTCTTTTTAATAATGAAGATATTATGATAAATAAATTTACATGCTTTATGAAAGATGATTAAAGTAATTAAATTTCTTATTGGGGGAAGCATTGAGCGATTCAATATTGAATAGAATGAATGTGAAGTTATCGAAATATTGAAGTAGTTCTGAAGAAAAGAAGGATGTGCATTTAGTTAAGAATTCGAGTGAACAGAAGAAATCCTTAGAAGGAATTAAGATCCTCCTTACAGAAGATATTTAGAGAGTGGCTACAATAATGCTAAAAAAAAGTAGGAGCTAGACTGATGGGCTGTTGGATATGGATTACAGGTAGTAAACACTCTCAAATCCTCTCTAAATAATGCCGAAGGATGCTGCAGAACATCTCCCTAGCTTACTAGAAGGAGCGGCAAGTATAACTCCAACTCTAAGCCGGAACTTCCCTCCATTTGGCTTAATTCTGATGGACCGTTGGGTAATACACTTCATTTTCTGATTATTCGATGTATTCAGAATAGTTAATAAGTTCCAGATTAATATACTCCTTCCGTTTCATAATGATGTTCCTGTTTACGTAAATCGATGCAAATTTTTACCTATCTTTGACTGCAAATATCTTTAGTATCACATTAGCAAAAATTATAAAAGTTAAATATTAATAATGTATCATCAAGGAATCAAACTAGATTCACATGACTGTATTTTTCTTATAGATTGAAGAAATTTAGAAATTCTCTATTTTTAAAAAGTAAAGTTCAAAAGAATATCATTGTAAGAAGGAAAATTGTCTTGTGATGCAGATTACACAGATTGGTTGCTATGAAGCAACAAAGAGATTTGAAGAATGGAATCAGGAACAAGTGTCCGCATTCCAATTGTTGCATTGACGACACACGCAATATTCGTAAAATGTGTATAGGTGGATCCAAGTGTTTGTAAGAATCCAAAGTCTAACTTTTGTTTATGGTGATGATATAACTATGGGCTATTAAAAAAACAAAATAGAGAAAAAGGGGGTATACCTTACTAGCTTTAGTGCTCTTATAATTTTTAACTGGTTCACAAGTTTTAGACTACAACTTTTTCTTATTGATGCTTCTTTTCGAAACTTGCTTCATTTTGGAATTTTGAACAGCAATGTCTTACTTCTTGGAAATGAATAAGGAAATCAATTTTGGATATTCTGCTGTAGTAAAAGCTAACATCATATAATTCATATAATTCATATCTTAATTGTTCAATGACAACTTAGTTGTCGTTGAAATATGTCAGTAAGCCATTCTTAAGTTCAATAGTTGGAGTTTCCTAACTTACATTGTGGCTACTTAAAGATTAATTGTCCCTTTGCAATTTTTTAGGTTTCTCTACTCTCATATTCATTCTTCTACTGATTAAATTGAGCAACCACAAGGTGTTAGTGGCAAAAAGTTGTTTATATATTTAGAGACTAACAGGTGTGGTCAGATTGTATTGAGTAGAAGAATTTCTGTAGATTACAATTTGAAAAATTGAGGACAAATTGTAAATAACATGTTCCATTAGTAAAACTAAGGTAACCTATTACAAATTAACCCTTTTTATCATTCGTTGAATACTTAGATAAAATATTTAATATTAGAAGATAAATTTTGTTTTTAAAATAAGAAAAAAATGAAGAAAAAAAAAATACGTATATAGTCAATCAATCGGTTTTAACTTTCAACTAACGATGTTAAAATAACAACGAGCCTTAAAGATCATTATTTACTTAGAATCATCATTAACTTATTGATTAGCTCGCAATAAATATCAAAATCATTTTTGTAAAGGGACCTTGCAAAATGAAATAGTACAGTATTGTATAGAATGCGAAATATTTATACAATTTCAAAACCATATCAATCTAAAAGAGGTTTCAATGCAAGAGGGAAGAGGAGATGGACTTATTTGAAATAAGTGATAAAATGAGATATTGGGAGGAGAGTAAGTGGAAATTGATTTTATAATATTAACAAATCTAAAAACTAGGAGAAAGAGTACTGAAAAGAAAAATAAAAATGCTTTGATCATTTTTAAATTAAATTTGAAGACAAGATGTTGATCATCTTTTAAAAAGAACACCATTAGTGTATAGTAAATTTTATGGAAAACAAAGGAAAAGGAAAACTTGCAATTAAATTTGTTATGAAATATGCTAAATCGTAAAAGACAAGTAAGAAAAATTCTTAATGAGAAGAAGGGAAAATTCAAATTGAAAAATAGTTTTGAAATTTGTAAAACCTTAGAAGATAGGGGAGAAGATAATGGGAAAGGAAAGCAATAAAACAAGTGAGAGATACGATAAGGTGGGTTTTAAAGATGACAGTACTAGAAAGAGTTTATGGTAGATTCATGCTAGATTTATGCATAAGTGTTTTTTAAGAAAGAAGAGGGGGGGGGGAGTACAACCTGTAGTAAGATTGAGATAGATAAATTTCTTATAAACGTGAAACAAAATGAATAAGGTTCATATGAAAGTAGGATTTCTGCAAATTTGTTAAAAAAACAAAAAGAGAAAGAGAATAAAAAAGAGATTACTAAATAAAATAAATATTACTAAAGAAGGTTAATAGAGTACAACCACAACCGTACAAGTAAATAAATACTCCCTCCGTTTTTTTTTTAAAGTGACACACTCTCCTTAAACGACCGTTTTTTTAAAGTGACACACTTCCTCTTTTAGAAATTCCTTACATTTTAATAATATATCTTCACACCACTATCTCTTACTTTATCATTTCTCACTCCTTTCAAGGTCCCCACTTTCTCTCACATTCTTTTACTTCATCATTTCTCACTCCTCCAACCTACCCCACTAACATCTTATTTTATTAAAGTCAATAAAATCTCCTAAAACTCCGTGTCGGTCATACTGTGTCACTTTAAAAAAATGGAGGGAGTAGGATAAATAGAAGATTTTTACCCCACGTTATAGCCCTAAGACATCTTTCGTAAAATAACACAATAACAAGATATCTATGTTATAATAAAAATCTTTAAGATAACTAGGGCTTTTTATGCACGCGATGCGCCCAATTTGGCTAGCCTTTTAAGGAGAATTAATTATTATTGGCAGGGGTGGTTGAGTGGTTATGAGAATGTGTAGAGTGGTCGATCGTCGCACAGGGCCCCCTAAGTGGCCCGGATTTTTGAAATTTACTCATACAAAGTAAAGAGAAAACCTTTTTAATCAATAATCTATTCTTCAATTTTATCATTGAATTTATGATTTAGTAACATATTTATCCTCAAAGAAATGATTTAGCGCCCAATTTAACGAAATTGCACTGGGCCACTTTCAGTGTTAGCATTTGTAGCCCCGCCGCTAATTACTGGTGAACTTTATGCCTTATTGTAGACACCCATTTGTGTCTCCCCAAAACCAAACCCAGTGATGAGTATCTTTCGCGTCGAATCATAATCGAATGAAGTGAAAGTGTGGAAAGTTTAGTGTTGCGGATAGTTTTAATTTCTTTTCTCTTCTCTCTGTTTTTTAAAACTTATTTTAAGAAAAACAGCCAATCTAGTTTGGTTGGTCCATGATATGGGTCCAATAGTAGTGTAGTTAGATGGGGCTTGACAAGAGCTTTCCAACGATATATTATAAGCCCAATTCCGATAAATATTGAGGAAGTTATGGCCAATTTACTAAACTGGGCTCGGTTTGAGCCTTATATGCGACCCAATGATCTAGAGGAGGGCCTAATACAGATTTATCACTCCTAATACAATTAGAAATGGTTTTAGTCTTCTAGATTCTTCTAGAAGGTTCTTTTCATTCCTAATTCAATTAGCATTGATAAATTGACTTTTGTTGACTTTTCAGAGTTTTAATTAAAATCAAAGAACGTTTTTTGAGGAAGATACGATTTTATCCTCCTGTACGGAAATTTCTATCTGATTTTAAGAAAATGCGTGAATTTCTGAATCAGCGCCAAACGCCAGCTGTAGCGCCTGGCGCTACGCTTGGCGCCTGGCACTAATGTTGGCGTCTAGCGCCAATAGCCAGCATTGGCACCAACATCGTTTTATGTGCGCCAGAATTCTATTTTGATATTTTATCTTTTTGGCTGATTTACTTTATAAATAACGTGCTAAAAACTCCGTTTTGGAGAACCAATTTTCATTCGTCAATTCTCACCAACTCTCATCAAGATTTCCTTGATCTCTCTTTTTCTAAACTAGCTTCTCACAAATATACAAAATTCCGCATTCATTAGATCTAGATACACCTAGCCATATTCGAAGTTGTCTTCGCCCTAGACGTGAAAGGTTTAATTTCTGAGGGTTTGGTCCCAAATCTCTCTTTCCATTATTTGGTTTAATTGTTTTGTTTATTATTTTCCTTGAAGTTACTAACGCGTGTATTTTGTTATTAGAAAGAGGTACGAGGCATCAAAGTAAGTATTCTAATGATTTTTATGGATGTTATGATATAGAGTTCATGCTTAGGTTGTTATTATGATTTCTAGTATCATGTCTAGGGTAACTTTAATACTAAGTATGATTGTTATGATGCCTCCTATTTTCTTCCTAATATTTATGATTGTTAGTATCATGTTAGGGTTAAAGATTTGATTTTTATTGCTTAGTGACATGCTAGGGTTTGTTATTAATCTTGTTAGTATCATGCCTAGGATCTTGCTATTATTATGCTTTAACATGATTTATGATTATTAATTATGATTATGATTATTTTTATGATTCATGATTATGGTTTATGATTATTATTATTATTATGATGATTATATATTATGTTGCTTGATATTATATTTTATTTTAATTGCTTGATCACACCTTTTATACATGTTTAAAGGGAATTGGTACTTGTAATCACGCTTAATAAGATATTTAATATTCTTGTTTAGGGTTAATTTGATTATAATTCAAGTGATCGCCAATAATAGTTTTATTTGTGCATTAATATTCAACCAACATAGATTAAACAGGTTTAGGGTTAACCTATTGATTGTATGTTAATCAGAAAGCGCACATGAATACGATCAGAATAAAGTAGAGGCCTATTATTAGGGCAGGTTCAATCTCTTTTAGGTTGGATTTGTACCTTCATCATATCCCCGAACCCTATTTGGTTCAAGACCTTATGAAGTTGACGATCTCTTGGATCGTTAAGGGGTGTAACCTTCACCTTGTGAACGGTTTACAAGTTCCTAAAAAAACTTGTTGGCGACTCTTTTGCTCTATCTTCTTTCCCTTTGGACGCCACCGTACTTTATTGTATGATCACAGTGGGGTTCAAGCTAGGGGATTAACGCTTGAAATATTCCCTACACTTATATCCAAATTTGCATGGTATTTTATTATATCTATTTGCATGATAATTTTAAGTACTTATTGAGATGAATTGAATAAATTAAACAAGTAATCATACAATTATATACTTTATAATTTTTGTACTCCATATATATTAAAGTTAATTTAGAATACTTTGTATTAAATAGTGTTTATCATTCAAATAGAAAAACCGAAAAAAAATATGGAGAGACTAAAAGATGCTTTAAATATTGAAATAAACACAAGTA